TTCAGCCCCCCCCTCCTCATCCTCATCCACCCAGAAGGCCTCAGGGGCTCCAAAATTGAGCGAAAAGCTGGGGTCGCCTTAGGCCAAGAGCACCTTAAGAAAACCCCAGATGACAGCACGTGATCCAAATTATCGGGAGGAATCGGTCAGAAGCCAGAGCCCTGCAGCAACAACCGCCGAGGCCGGAGCAGGCGCGGCACGCCAGCCAGAATGGCAGCGCCACTTCTCCTTGCGGCCTGGGACCAGTGCGCAGAGCATTCCCAAACGTCGCCCATCGAATTGTGACGTGATGGGCCCCACCCTGCCCCACCCCGTCCCCCCCCTCGGTCACGCCCGTTATCGCCAGGGCATGATGAGAAACGGTCTCACGGCATCGGCATGGAGAAAAAGAGATGCGCGGCGGCGGGCGCGGCTGGTCAGCCAGAATGGCAGCGCCACCTCTTCTGTGGTGCTTTGACCAATGCATAAGCCCAGGCCGCGCTCGGACTAAACACGGTCCCCACTGCAGATGCACTGCGACTGTGGGGCATTCGTATGAAAACTGCCCATGGCATCCACGATGACAGCAGAAAAAAACAAAACACCGGGCGCGGCCGGTCAGCCGGAATGGCAGCACCCCTTGTTCAGTGGTGCTTTGACCAATGCACACGCCCAGGCCACGCTCGGAGTAAACACGGTCCCCACTGCAGATGCACGGCGACTGTGGAGCATTAGTATGAGAACTGAGCATGGCATCCACGACGGCAGCAGAACGGACAAAATCGGAGGCGGCGGGCGCGGCCGGTCAGCCTGAATGGCAGCGTCCTTTCTTCTGTGGTGCTTCGACCACTGCGCACGGTCGAACCACACTCGGACACACTACGGTTCCCATAATACCGCTGATAGATGTGCTTACGTAAGATACGTGTGTTATATATATATATATATATATATTATATATATATATATATATATATATATATATATGTATATACACATATATATATAGAGAGAGAAACGTCTGTGAAAATATTTGCACATGCGCATATATACTAGAACCACGCGCGCGCTACGCGCGCGCTTAGTTTCTAGCCGACTCCGTTTGGGGTGCTCTTGCGGCGTCTTTTTGGGCCTCTTTGGGGCATCGTGGGGCCTCTGGGGGGCCTCTTGGGCTCTGTTGGGGGCCTCTTGGGGCCTCCTGGGAGCCTCTTGGGACGGAACGCTCGACTTGTCGGTTCGCGTTCCCCCTCTTGGGGCCGTCTTGGGGCCCTTTTGGGCGATCTGCGGACCCAACTATGTGCAGTGGCACATGTGCGTGCTCTCGTTTTCCCATGCTGCGGATCGCCTTGCGGATTCCCACACGGGCATGGGCGGAGGCCGTGCCTGCGCCCGGGCATCTGCCCGAGCCGATGCAGGCACCGATGGCCCCCCAAGCCCAGACCCCTCCCGTGCCTTCTGACTTCGACAGGTCAGAGGCTTCACCACCAAGAAATGTAACTTACAGGGCGGTGGGTGGGGAGAAAACGTGGGTGACCGAGAGCACGGAGGTGAGCTCGAGGACGGAGCTCGAGACCAAAATGGCCATGGGCACGCGAGCGCCACGTGACACCGTGCATCCGCTCCACTCCTGCACCCCTCCACATGTGCGTGCTCTCGTTTTCCCATGCTGCGGATCGCCCTGCGGATTCCCACACGGGCATGGGCGGAGGCCGTGCCTGCGCCCGGGCATCTGCCCGAGCCGATGCAGGCACCGATGGCCCCCCTATGCCGGAGTACCCTGCTCCGCGCAAGCGGCGGCACTACGTGCGAAAGCTGCCTTCGCCGCCGCTCTATCCCCAGGCATGCATTGCTCGCGCATGAGCTTGTACGGCCTCTCAGCGGACTCGAGCCTCGCGTGGTCAGCGACGCCGAAAGCCCACCCGCAGGAGTTTCGCCACCCCCTGAGCGCAACGCGTGCGGATCCCTCCCGGACCCGGTGGACGACGCCGGTCTTAGGGTTCTCCACGAACTCGGGGCCTTCGACACAGAGGTGCCTGACCCCCTCCAGCTCTGCCGCGAAGGCTTCGCGCAAGGAGAGGATGGAGGCCTCGAGAGAGGAGACTTTGGTGGCGAGTTGCTTGCACAGGCTGTCGGCTGTGTCGCGACGGGCCTCGCGAGCCGGACGCGCCCCCCCTGCCGGCGCGGCGGTGCGTGCCCGCTTGGCAGGCCCCTGCTCGTCCTCCCTCTCCAGCCGCACGCGCCGGTGGACCTCGTCGAGTGGCAGGCCCGCCGAAGCCCGCGCAGCCCAACTGCCCGAGACAGCGAGCGGTGCCTCCCGGGTGTAGCGCAGGACCGCGTCCGAGCCCCAACGCCCCAAGAGCTGGATCGCCCAGACGTCAAATCCTGCCCTCGCGAGCCCCTGCGCCCCGGTGGCGCGGAGCGAGTGGCCGGTCCAGCGAACCTCGCCAGCGGGCCCGTGCGCCTCCAACCCCAGCAGACGGGCCGCATGCTGAATGGTTGCGGTGACGGCCTGCTTCGCGCATGCCTGCCCTCTCTCGTCTGGGAACAACGGGAGATCGAGGTCCGGCCACCCGCCCGCGAAGCGCTCTGGGAACGCGCTCTTGAGCCACCGGGCTTGTGAGGCCACCGCGTGCAGGGCAAATGGCGGCCAAACGCCCTCCTCGGCAGCAGCTCCCGCGCGCGCGCATGGCGCCGAGGGCCAAAGGGTCGGCCTTCGACGCGGGGAGGTTCCAGGCGACCTGCAGCGAACTCCCAGTACCCGACGGCGTGGCCAGCGCCGCGCGCGTCGTGGACAGCTCGACCTCCCTGAGGAGCCACCACGAGCCCGCGATGATGAGGAGGCGCGGGTTTGCCGGGCCTCCTGGGACCCATGGCACGTGCCCGCGTGGGAGGCGGTGCAGCTCCTCGAACGGGAGAGCGGACGCGTGCGCAACCGGCCCCTGGCCCCGCTCGCAGGACATGACGGCGTCTTTAACTGCGCGCCGAATGCCAGAATCGACCAGATGCCCCCTTCTCTCTGATTCCACAACGGCTGCTGAAAGGTAAAGCCGTGCCGAGCGGTACCTGCCTGCCTTGAGGCTCGCTCCTAGGGCGGTCACCTTTGAGATAGTCAGCGGGAACAGCTCCATGTCCCAGGAAGCCAGGAGGCGCCCACAGGTGCGAATCCGCGAGGCCAAAGATTTCCTCGAGGTCGTCGCGTACACCGACTTGGCGAAACTCGACAAGGCAAGCAGGCGCGCCCGTCCCTCCCGCAAGTCCGGCATGGACCCGCGGGAGTATCGGTGTCTGCTGGGTGCGTCATGGCGCAGACCTGGTAATGCCCTGCGGGCCGGGGCACCCTGGCCGCCGGCAGCCACCGACACCGACTGGGCCGAGCTCTCAACGTCGCCTGAGCTGGGGCCTTCAGCAATGCCCCCACCCCCGAATGCGCCGGGCCCGAGGCGCGCCGAGGCGGATGGCAGGGGAGGTCGCCCCCTGCCTCCCGAAGCCCCGCGAGGCGCGGCCACTCCTGGCGCGGGGCGCACCCTTTCCCTCGCCCCCAGGCCCGGGCGAGGAAGCGCGGAGGGGAGATCCCCTCCGATCGCGCTCCCCGCTTGGGCCCCTATGGGAGCGGCCGCCATCAACACCCCGCGATCCCGTCGAGAACGGGTGGCGGCGAGCGGAGCCAAGTCATAACGTGGCCGGCGGATGCGCCTCATGGGAAAACCCGCGCTCCGCCGCGCCCAGACGGCCGGAAATTCGAGCCGGCAGACACTCTATGATACTGACGGGCTGCGCCGATCTCCCCCTATGGCATTGAGCCGGGGAGGCGCATGATAACGGAGCTGGGCCAGCCAAGCCGGGGAGCCGGCGGCAGGCGAGAGGCGCCGATGTCCCCCGATGGCTAGACAAGCCGGGAGCGCGCCTGGCGAGATACGCCGATCTTCCCTCTCTCCCCCTCCATCCTGGCCTCTCCTCCCGGGAATGGAGGAGGGGGGGGGGGAGGCAGTGGCGCCCTCTCCTGGGGCGTTTTGGGGGTCCCAAAGGTCCCGGGCGGCCCCAAAAGCGTGGGGCAGGGGGGCATCGGCATAGCATCGGCATGAGTAGTCAGCAGTGGCTCAAGACCCCCCCCCCTTTTTGCCACGCCCCCTTTTGTCAGTAGCGTTGCTGGGGGATGCCAGCCCATCCTCGGATGTCAGAAAACGCACCCCTCGGTTTATAACAGAGTCACGGCGCCCGCTGGCCCGGGGGCGCCCTCAGCGTCGGACAGGAGAGCCGGCGCCACGCACGCGAGCTCGTTCAAAGACAAGTTGTCGGGGGCGGATCCCCCAACCAGGCCTGCCAGATCAAGTCGAGCTCGGGCGCGCGAGCGGACGGCGTATCCCGCAACGCCGGTGGAAAATGGATTGGGGGCGTTGCCGCCAACCTGGAGAGAGCGTCCGCTAGCTCGTTGGCCTCCGACGGTAGATGCGAGGCCGTGTATGTCCACCGGAAGGCAGCCTTCTTCCATGAAGGCCCCCTGGTCATGGCATTCAGGTCTCGACGTCCTCGGTAACAGACTGCGCCCGCGAGCGCCCTAGGTTGTCCCCCTTGATCGTGAGGACCTGCCCGACTGCGAACGGCGTACCCCACGCCAACAGGGTGACCAGCAGGGTGACGTACTCCCACAAGGTCTGCCACTTGGAATTGCCGATCTCGGCGCTGAACCGCTGAAGGGGCTTGTCCGGCCACGTGAACGCGAGGTATTCGCGCGGGGCGCCCTTCTCGAAGAGGATGGCGCCTCCCCCCCACGGGGAGGCATCGAACTCCACGTGGGCCAGCGCGGCCGGGAGGCGGCGCAGGTCCGGCCAGTGGTGCACCTCGCGGGTGAGGGGCAGAACGGCGCTTCTGATGAGCGCCCGCACCCACGCCGCGGCAGCGGCGAAGCGGCGAATCGCGACGCGCCCGGGCGGCGCCTCCGGCCGCGCCGACGCCGCCGCCTGCTCTGCAGCCACCAAGGCCGCCCAGAAGGATGCTGCGAAGGGGTATGCCTCCGGCGCGACCTGGGCAATGCGCGACACCTTGCCCGTGGCCGTGCGCGCCAAGCCGAGGGGAGCCGTGCCGGACCCCCCGCAGAACGTATCCATGATTTCGGCCGTCGCCTTCAAAAACTCCGGCGGCAGGGTCACGTAGGCTACGGCGCCGCGCAGCTCGAACTGGATACCGATCCAGACATGGGCGCCCAAGGTGAAAACTCCTTTCCGCCATGCCAGCCCCAGGCCGAGGGCAAGCCACCACCCGAGGACCGTGTCCAAGTTGCAGTGGATGCCCTCGTCGGAACCCGCGAGGGTGATCGCCGGGTCGTCGACGTAGAGCTGCAGCCGGCCCTCGGAAGCCGACAGCATGGCCTGAGCGGAACGGGCCAGAAATGACCCGACCCTGCCGTGCACCAGGGGGTTGGCCTTTCCCCCCGAAGCCCAGGGCCCGCCAGACGATGACGCGGCCGTGTCCTGCCATGGGGGGCTCCTCGAGGATCGCGACGTTGAAACGCCTTTCGTCCTCGTGCAACGGGATGCTCATGAAGGCGTCGAGGAAGTCGAGCACGAGGGCGCCGACCCGATGAACCCGAGTGGGCGCTCCTACGCGCTGCCCTAATGAGGCGAGGTCGACCGCGTGATCGACCCCCCTCGGCAGCACGACGCGCTCGCGTGTCGTGGACGCCCGGTTCACCCCATTGGCCTTGAGGTCCTGTATGATCCTGTTCTTGAATGTCCCGTCCCGCTTCTGGCGCCGGACGTTGCCGAGCGGCGCGGGGAAGACGCGCCCGAACTTGGCCTCGGCTGCCGCTACCGTGTCGAAGGTCTCACCGTAGCCCGACTTCAGGTAGCCGCGAATCAGGTCCAAGGACGGCGCCTCCGCCTCCCCGTGCTTGTCGGCGAAGGACGGGTGGTTGGCGAAGAACGCGTAGTCGCCCGTGCCCAGGTCGCCGGGCTCCAAGGTGCTGCAGGACTCGGCCAGCGGGAACAATCCGCCTGGCACCACTGCGCGGGAGATGCCCATGGGGGCGCCCTCTTCCAGCCACCTCCCGACCTCCCGATCGGGCCCTTCGGCGAGCGATATGACCTGCTGCGCCAAGCGTAACCGCATGTTCGAGGCTGGGTGGTGGCGGAGCTCGCCGCCGGGCTCGACAGCGAGCGCGCGGGCCACCTTCGCCCGCAGTGCTGCCGCGGCCGCTTGAGACGGCGGCGCGCGCGCGGGTGTCTCCCCGCAGCAGCCGGCGAGCCCAGTCAGGCTGGCGCCCTCGGACTGGGCCTCCCGAATGGCGAGCCTGACCTGGCCCATGACGCGCAGGAGCGCCGGCTCCGAGGCGACCGCCGCGGCCGCGTTCCTCAGGCCGGCCCTGCACGCCGCGTCTTCCTGACCCCGCTGTTCCCGCGTGTCCACAGGGTCAACGCCGCGAGAGGCGTGGCGGCGCACCGGCGCTGGGTCCCCGAACTCGGACAGCGCCACGAAGCGGGGCCCCCCCTGGGGGTCTGGCGCGAGGCCCCCCTCCAGTCTGTCGGGCGGCCCCTCCTTGCTGGTGGCAACCACCGCACTAGTGGCCGCCTGTGTGGGGGCGGGCTGGCGCGGACCCGCGGCGGAAGCGGCAGCTCGCCGCCGCTGCGCCTCCGCTAGCGAGGTCCCGAGCCGCTGGAGCCTGCCCAGAACGTCCTGCAGGCTCTGGCGCTGTCGACTCAGCCGCGCCCGGCGCGAGACGGGCGTCTCGCCTGGAGCGGTCTCGGGCGCCTCTTGCGCGAGCACTGGCACTGCCGCGGCTGCGGAGGCCCGGCGGGCCGCCGACGCGGCCGCCGAGCCCAGAAGCGTTGCCGTAGCCAGCGCCTGCTCTGCCGACGGGCGCGCCCCTGGGGGCGGCGCCGCAATCGCCGCGACGGCACCTGCCGGAGCTGCCCGCGAGCTGGGCGTCGCGCCCTCTGCGGCCCCCGATGCCTCCTGCGCCGTCCTGGCGACCTTCAGAAGCGGGGCCGCGCCCCCCCTACTGGGGCGGGGCGCCGGAGGGCCTCGCTGGGCAGCTCGCGGACGCCCGGGCGGCGGCGGCACCCAGCCGCGCGGCTTCGCCAGGCACTCCGGGTCGATGGCCCGATGCGAGCCCAGGCACCACTCGCAGCTGTGGGCGCGGCCCTGGGGGCAGCGACTGTCCGCGCAGCCTTTCTCCGAGCGGTTCCAGCTGAAGCAGAGCTGGGAGCCGTCGGCGGCGCGGAGGTGGCGCCCGTCCTTGCGACGCTCGATCCCAGCCAGGCCCTCTTCTTCTCGTCGTCTTTGCCGCCATTCTTCCGGCTGGCGGCCGCCGCTGGAGGCGCCGATGGCGGCGGGCCACCGCCGCCGCCGCCGCCACCGCCGCCGCCGCCGCCGGCCGCCTGCAGCGCCTGCGGCACGGCGCCCCGGCGGGAGGCGAGGAGGCACAGCTTGTCCACGCGCTCGTACCACCAGTTGGCGCGGGGGCTACTCTCTGACTTGGCCGAATCCCGGATGACGGATTCCCAAGGCCGGTCCTTGTCGAAAGAGCCCGCATAGCATCCGTTGGCGACGCGGGCCTCTGTCTGGCGCCGGATGCGCTCCCAGCGCTCCGCTCGCATCTCGTCGTCGGCCTGCGAGATGATGCCCCACTGCTCGGGGAAGGCGCAGTGGAGCAGGCGGATGCCCTCCTCGTATTCGTCCAAGGGCCCGGGCAGAGAGGCCTTCAACACGAGCATCGCCGTCCTGAAGACTCGCCAGCACGCCCGCCAGGTGTCGAAAGAGGAAGGCCCCCGGAGCTGCCGAGTGACCAGCTCCCCCCCGACGAACACCTGGGCGGTGAAACGTAGCAGCCGCTGTTGACGCCAGCCGGATGGCCCCCACACGGCCATGTCGACGTAGGGGGCCATGTCTTCCGCGAGCTTGGCGGCCAGCGCCGAGAGCTGGTTCCCCGTCACGTCTTCGTGCTCGCGGGGCCCCCCGCCGTGGGCCCTCTCGAAGTCGGCCCACAAAGCCGCAATGCGCGGCGCCGGGAGGAGCTCGACGTCTCCATCATCCGCCTGGTCGATGAGGGCGGCCAGCTTGCGCTTCCGTGCCGCTGGCACGGGAGGCGGTGCCTTGGCCGTCGGCCGCATCGGCGCTTGCGCTGGGCCGCTCAGCGTGCCGAAGTCCGGCGAGGGCGCGCCGCCGATCTCTGCGATCTTCCTGAGGAAGCGCCGCAGCTTGGACTTCTGGAGCACACTGTCAACCACTGTCTCGTCCAAGGCCGTGGACAACTCCAGGAGGGAGGTCGACAGCAGATCGTCGATCGTGAGACTGCTGAGGGTGCCCCCGAGCTGCTCCACGTACGCTCCCAGCAGGATCGTGTCGAAGCCGGCCATGCCCGCGATCGAGGAAACCAAAAGGGGGCGAGGTGTCTGCCGCGCGCGCTCAGAAGGCGAGCGTACGGTCGCAGCGTCGTCCGGGCCCCCCTCCAGCGCCGGGGCCGCCGCAGCCGCGGGTTCGCCGCCGAACCAGCTCATCGCCCCAGATGCTGCGGAGGTTCCTTAGCGGGAAGAGAAAACGTGGGTGACCGAGAGTACGGAGGTGAGCTCGAGGGCGGAGCTTGAGCCAAAATGACTACGGGCACGCGAGCGCCATGTGACTCCGTGCATCCGCTCCGCTCCTGCACCCCTCCGAATACCGCATTGTGGGTACCAGTTTCGGTGAAGCTCCTATGGGGCCACGAAACTTGTGAGGGGTGCGCCGAAATTGGTGGCGCGGACGCATGTGGACACCGCCACTGGGGCCTTCGGTGTAGCTCCCTATGGGGCCACGAAGCGCTGCCCTGGGCGAGGGAGACGCATGCGAACTGCGCCATTGGGACCTTCTCTGGAGCTCCTTATGGGGCCACGAAGCGCTGTCATGGGTGGGGGAAACGCATGCGAACTGCACCTTTGGCAAACTGTCGGCTAATGGCGCTGCCCTGCAAGCAAACTGCTCTGGGGTCTGCATGGCTCATCATCATAAGCGTCCTTATGGCAATTTTCATGTTCATCAACCCAATCATCACCAAAATGTCAATCATCATCACCACCACGACCATCGTTACCGTCATCGTCGTCGCCTTCTTCACCGTCGTCAGCGCCATCGTCACCATCGCCATCATGTCACCGGAATGCCAAAATGATCACTACACTGGCCTGGGTGGTCACTGCACTGGCTGCGCAGAACTGAGGCGACCGAGCCACGGGGCGTCGATGATGGCGCCTTCGGGCCACTAGTTGCCAAGTGGTCGAAAACTAGAGGCAGAAATTTAAATTCACGCCAACTGGTGGACCATGCACCACCCATGACAATGGTAGAGACAACGCTTGAGCACCCCACGGGTCTCCCAAACTGCATTGTCCTCATTCCCACTTTCTCTTCATCCTCGTCTTCCTCGTCCTCCAGTGGCTCGCATGGCCGATACCGGAAACCCTAAACCCACAAAGGTTGCTATCCCCTTGGAGGCCGATTTTACTTCCGCCGCCTTTCCGCTGGCCTTCCGACGGCGGATCCGCCCTCGTCTTACTTCCACTGGCTTCTGCCGCCCTTCCGCCACCTTCCGCCGAGGAAGAGGAGACCACTCCTTCGACCCTCGAAGGCGAGGCCCTTCTCTGGAACGCCGCACATTGCTTCACAACAATAAGCCCAGCCCCCCGACGTCGTGATTTTTTTCACGACGTCGACCCCCAGAGGTCTGGACCCCTTCCCCGGGACCGGTTTTTCGCTCTGAGTCGTTTTTTGACGGTCCCGAAGGCCGGTAAGGGCCCCCAGAGGCCGAAAATAGTGAAAAACCTCCCGTCGTGATTTTTTCACAACGCGAGGGGGTCTGGGAGAGCAGAAGGCATCGGCATGGTCACGAAAGGCTTGCTACACAGAGGCCACTCCGAGAGCCTCGCGGCCCCCCTCCGCCTGGCCCACCATCACCGCACCCAGGCAGCAGCCGACGGCAGTTCCTGCCCGACTAGGCGCTGCAATCCTCTACCATACCAATGTGCTGCGCAGAGGCCCAAGGCGATTGCCCACGGCTCAGTTCGTGAACATACTGAAAAAATAGGTATACAAAAATTCTGGCGCACAAATATTTGAAGCATTCGAGAAAGGGACTTGCGAGACATCATTAAAGCGAAATGGCTGATTTGCCTTTGGCATCTGCTCATGCATGGCCATGTTGATATGGCTACTGTAGCAACTTTCGCCTTCAACTCCTGGCCCCAAGCCTGGCACACATTGGAACTCTTGTGCATGCAGCCCGGCCGATGCAGCGATCGCGCGCTCCCTGCGCCCTCTCTGCCGATTCAGTCGCCGCTGCTGCCGCTGTCGCTGATGCTTGCTAAGAGCAGGTTCCTCGCCTGCTGCAGGGATGTATGTC